ACCCTGGGAAAATCCAGTTCGCTTCTGGGGCTTCCTCTGGGTTCAGAGGTGTCACGGCGAGGTTCTCCTGCGCCCCGTGCCCTCCACCCACCAGCCCACGGCTGCAGGACCGGAGCTTCCAACCACAACCCGACTCGATTCCTCTCTCCATACATTTTATGCCGTCAAAGCAACGGGGTGATTTCACCAACCTTAGAGCGTTTTGGAGCGGAAAACCCCTCCTGCGTGGATCACGAACCCAACAGCAGGACGGCATGTCTGCAGCGATTCACGCTCTGTCCAGAAAGAGAGATTTCTAACAGAGGAATAAGATACTCCGAACTAAAACCTGGCGTGTTTTATCCCAAACTGCTTGGCCGGTGAAGTCCTGCCTGTGCGCAAACCTTTGAAGAGCATCGTCACACTAACGCCTGCGATTTTCCAGAACAACTGTGGGCAGCGTTACGTCCCTCCCGAAGTGGCCGGGGAGGTCACGCAGGAGGCGGGGGGGTATTTCTGCAGATCTTTTTCTAGCCTTGCAACGGCGTAAGAATTAAAATACTGATGACCATAAAAACTCCCCGGCTCTTCAAGAATTACTTTCCTTGGGAAATGGTGAGAAAAAGAAGAAAAGAAGAATTCTGGCTATGGAATGAAATCTTTGAGACAGTAATTTCTTACCGGGGAAGTACAATGTGATGATGTTATGTATTTTGGTCGTGGTAAGCTGCAAAATTAAGTTTTTTAACCAAGACATTTTCACATAAAAACAACAAAAGGGTAGGGAAAAAAATCACTCCATATTCAGTGAAGTGGCTTTCTCAAGTAGATTTTGGGTATTTGGTATTTCCAAAAAAAAGGTAAAATGGAGCAGTATTCCTCTGCAACACAGAACTGGCGGGCACAGGAACCGCACCGCTGCCGAAGGAGACGGGGAACCAAGGGAGAGGTCCGAGGAGGGCTGAACTTCTTTAGCAAAAGCTGTTTGACTCTCTCTTAGGTCGTTTAAAAACATGACACCTTTTCATTGCAGCTCAGCCACTGAAAAATGCTTCTGCTGCAAGGAAGTGAAGCGGTGACTCTTCACGTGATGCTCGTGCTGCAGGAATCTCTGCGGCTGCGGTTCGATGGAGTGCCATCGCCGGCTGGTTTGAACCACCCAGAATTAGCTAAAGGAATACAAGGCTGACGTGTGGCGGCACGGGCGGCACCGCAAGGTCTCCGCGGGGATCTCGGTGGGAAAATAATCACCCGCGCAAGAGCTGACCGAGTTTTACAGCTGGGCGCTGAACAACTACCCCGGGTCTCTGTGATCACGTTGAAAGGAGAAGGCAGACGGGTCTCACCTGCAGGTGTGCGTGGCTTCAAAATGGTAAGTTTAAGCAGCATATTCCTCTGCTGTTCCCCATGCAGCCCAACCCTGGGCACTGCCGTGAGAGATACCCCGACAGCATCCCGCAGCGAGGGTGTGCCGGTGCCTGCAGCCTGCCTGGGAAACTGCCTTCTCTCCCCATCCCTGGCCAAAACGGGATGTCATTTTAACATAAACTTTTTTTCCCCCCCACCACCTGTGTTTTAAAAAATCTCTAATAGATAAATCCTGAAAGGGCGTGCTGAAGCCAAAATTAATTTAACTGCAATACCGAATAACAGCACTAACATCTTTAAGTCCAGCCTGCGTCGGGAGGAGCGCGCGGTTGTGTAGCTTCCTCGGTACAAGATCGCGCTCGTGTGACAAAGCTTTTGCGAGTGAAGCCACACACGTACGCACTGAGAGCTCACACCAGCTGGGCAGGAATAGGAGTTTAATGGACAGCGGCCTTACAGCAAAAATAAGAAGCAGCTTTATAACAGGGGAGCGATATTTATGAACAAATGCAAACACCAAATGAAAAGCTTATTATTTGGTAGTATTTCGTACTACTGAGCAATTTCATAGTTATTAAGAAATATCGTTGAAGTAGAAAATTGGTCTGAAACATCTCCTGTGAGGAGCACCATAAGCCGGCTGAGAATCGTGAATATTTGCAACAAACAGAAGAAGAAAAGTTGCAAAAAAAAAAAAAAAAGAGTTCCTGCTCCTAACAACTAAAGACCCAAGTCTGCAGGTGGGGAAGAACACTCTCCGTCCATCCATGGGCACCTTGACCCTGCAGGCGTGGGCAGCTGGCGGCTACCGGGCACCCCAGAGGAAAATCCCTCGGGAGAGAGGTGGCTGAGGACACAGTCTAAAGGGACAGGTCCTTGGAAGGAACCAAGCCAAAACCTTTCTGTGCATGCATCACACCTACTTATTACTTGAACGCCTCCTTTATCTTCTTTTTCTCACTCAGACAGTTAGATCCGAGGGCTGCTGAGTTAAGGGGTGCCAGTGCTGGGCAGTGCTGGAGGGCTGAGCCCCCTTTTCAGCCTCAGCCCGACTTGGCCAAAGAGCGGCTGGACCGCACGCTCAGAAACAGAGCGCCCATGCCGAGCTCTAGAAACGCGGGTGACCGACAGGCAACCCAGTCGCCGCTGCCTCTTCAACGCCCTGCTGACGTACCTGCCCTCGCTAGCAGGCAGGGAGTACCGAACAGATGCATTCCCTGAAGATACGTGGGTTTTCCTGCCTAAAAGCGGAGGTGAAGCCTGCAGAGCTTGAGTGCCCTGAACGCAACAGGGCAGCGCATCCCCCGTACCCGCTCCGGAGCCTGGGGCTCTCGCCGCTCCTACGGAAGCTGGAACTGGGGATAAGCATCCCTATACGTGCCCCTACCTGGTGCTCTAAATTTAAGTCTGATACATCCCAAGCTGCTGCCCATGATCTTTTTTCCGCTGACAGCTTCTCAAAGCCAGGCAGAAAGCAGACCAGGCTCCGGCACTTCAGACTTAGAAATGCCACTGGTCTGTTCCCCCGCCCCACGCGGGGTAACACCGGCGTGCCGCGCTCGGACGGCATGCGCGAAGACAAACACCCGACCAAAATAAGCATCTGCCTCTCTGCTCAGACACCAAACAGGGCAGGAGAAGCAAACCATCAGCGCGGACCGGCATCTCCTTGCAAAGGAGTCCAGAAGGGCGGTCGTGCCGGGAGGGAAAGCGGAGACCTGCAGTTCAACGTTCCTGAGCAAACAAACGCCCAGCGAACCGAAATGCTATGCGAAAAGTTGGCAACGGCAGCATGCGGAAAAACCTGTCCCAAACCGCTGGTTTTGGTCCCAGTGTCGCAGGCTGGGAATAGCTTTTTTGTGTCACCTGCCAGCGGCCGGAGGGGCACCGTGTCCCCGCGGGGCTGCGAGTGTGCCAGCACAGCGAAGTCAGGTCTGCCAGGCAATTCGCCCCAGAAAGGGTAAAATCTCATCTCTCTGCCCAGGCCACAGGGGCTGCATCCCAGCACCGCCACGCAGCCGGAAAAAGTGACTCCGTTTTGTGGGACAGCACAAATGGGACAAGTTTGGGAGCTTTGGGCTATGGGTTTGTTTTGTTTAAAAAGCATTTAAAAACCCAATGCTAATGTAAACACCTTGTCTCTCAAATGGAATATAAAGTAAAATATCTATGCTCTGGCAATATTTACAGTATAAAATCCTTATTTTCAGGACTATGACATAGATCTCTTTTGGAAACATGAGTTTATAACAATTGTACACCGCATGAACCAATTACGCAAAACCTGATTCTTAGATTTTGCCCTATATTCCTGTGCCAGAAAGGGGTAGGTTACACAGTTTGTACGTATTTCCATTTCAGGGGAAAAAATTATTAATGGAATTGAACGCTCCATCCAGGAGTACTGGCAACTTTACTTTCAAAAACTGCAAAGATGTATGAAGTTGCAAACTGAATTGTGCTTTTACTTCTGTGTTGATACCTTTTGTGAGCATGCACGCAACTCAGCCACCCTATCATATGTACGTCAGTCTGGACACACAGCTGAAATAGCTCCAGATTTCCTAATTTTCTTTTAAGATGGGCACGGATTTCTGTTTTCTTACATCACTCCAAATTGCTCTGTGAGCAAGCACCTTCCAACATGCACAGTCTGAAGTTTCCCAACGCAAACGCACAAGCCTAATCCTGGCAACATTTGTGACTGTAAAATTAGCACTATTCGTCATCTTACACATTTCTAAAGTCCCCAGCGCCCCGTTCAGCGGATGCTCCTATGCTCCTCCGTGCATCTGAACAACAACTGCGTTTAATTTCCAAAATTACCTAGAAATCAAACGCTGCGCCGGCGACGCACGGAGAGGAGCAGCGCAGGAGCCCGGCTCCGAGCCCGCGTCCCCTCAGGGAAAACACAGAGGGACAGTTTTTCCCCTGCAGCCTCCAGTTTAGCACTTTTGGGTGTTTTCCCGTCTCCACGAGACAGCTGCTCCGGATGCCAGCGAGGTGGGCTCCCGCGCTGCTGCCGCTTGCCCGGGACCGGCCCCGGCCCCGGCCAGCGCTGGGTGTCCCACCATTCTCCTCTGTTTGTGTACGTACGCTTTCCTGCTTAGCTGGTAAAATGAAAAGGCTGCGTGTCTTTAAAGCGTTTCCTCAACCCGTAGGGCTTTCGAAAATTGGGGGGAAAAAAAGGAAAAAAGCGAGCAAAGGAACGTAGAAATGCAACCAAAAATCCGGGGACTGCTCGGAAAAGGTGCCCTTAAAAACAGCAATAACTTTTTGGGACAGTGCTGTAAGCTCAGAGTTGCGACCCAGCCTCTTTGCCTGCTCATCTCCTTATCCGTGCCACTGCAAAATGTAAGGGCGAGGGGCAAAGAGACGCGCCGGCGCTCCTGGCGCTTCATCTGTGGCTGTCAGAGAACAAGGGCATGTTCACGGAGGTTTCCTGTAATGGAAATTTGACGTAAATGCTCTTTACAGAAGTGATATTTTTTTCTGCTTTTTGCTGGGAGACTGTATTAGGAACCTCCACATTTACAGCAATATTTTTCTGGAGTTCAACCGGCTAAACTTGAAGATAGAGCTTTTTATTCATCACTGAGAGACATACTAAGGACTGAAGAAAAAGTAAATCAGCATGTCGGTTCTACTTTTCTCTCTCTTTATGAGGCACCCCCTTCATAACAGCTATCAGTATTGTATTTAAATCGTATATATTGACAAAATGTAATCTACCTCTGTAAGCATTGTGCCATTCAACAGTACTACTATTAAATTTATATACCACAGTTTAAATTACATCCATTTCATGAATGGTAAAATGCTAAAACTCAAGTGTCTAACTGCCAAAATACAGCCTTACTGGAATGAGTACAATTTACAAATACAATAATTACATTTTAAAACCATTAACAATGTTACATCTAGAAGTAAATACTGTAGGACTGGTCAAGACGGTGTTTTCCAAGGAAAAAATGCTGAAAGTTGTCGACACTTCCAACAGAAAGGTCCCGAGAGCAGGATTTAGTTCATTTTCCTTAAACTGTAATTAAAACCCGTTCCACGCACAGCAGTCCTTGGGCATTTTCCGTATTATTTTCCACGGACTCGCATAAGCTTCCATCAGTTATCGGCCAAGTATTTACCTAGAAATGGGATCAGAAATGAGCTGCGGGGAGGGAGCAGCCCCAGTTCCCGGGGGATGGCTGCCCACCTCCGCTGGTCCCCGCACCCACGGCCGCGCTGCTGCTCCGCACGAGCAGCACACGGAAAAATACTCGTCTTCCTATGCAGCAATGGGGCAGAAGTAAAACTATTTTTATTTCTCTGCAGCAACAGGGCAAAAGCTTTTCCTGGAGAACCCCAGACCTTGCCTTTCATGCAGGACCCACAAGCAGAAAAAAAGCCCATGAAATTCCCAGCACAGCTGGAGGGGACCGTCAGCGACACTGCCATCCCAAAGAGGAGCCGCCAGCGAGGCACCTACCTGCCGCAAACCTCTTCTTGATGAGGGAGAAGCGGTAGCCGGCGCCGACGAGCTCGATGTCGCAGCTGGACAGCGTGCTCCCCTCGCTGGTGAACTGCACGGCCAGGGGGGCCGGGGTGCTCGGCCCCTCCGAGAGCTGGAATCGGGCCAGTAGAGACCCCACACCTGCAATTCAAAAGTCCCGCGGCAGACCCTTACAAGCCCGCAGAGGCACCGCCGCGCATCCCAGGGCCAGATTCGCCGGCCAAGGCCATGAGGTGCCCGAAGTGCCGCAAGCGAAGCCCACTCCCACGGTGGTACGCGAGCCAGCAGCATCCCCCCCCCGGGGGGGGTGGGCAGAGGCAAACCCACTCCTCCTCCCAGCAGATTTTTATTTTTCAGGCTCCCCAGCGGTACAGAGCGGCCGAGTTGCGTGGGTGACACACGACGTGACCCGTGGGAGGCTGCGGTCCCCCTGACGGGGATGCAGCGCGGGGCCTCAGCCTTCAAATGCGGAGAGGGTCAACAGAGCAAAGGACTTGGCAAACAACCGCGTCCAAAGCCGGTGTGTTAATACCCATCCGTGATGCCAGAGAGGTTGGCAAAACAGTGGCACATATCCCGGCTTTTCAAAGCTCTCTGCTCCTAGCTTTAATTAGCATCCTCCCCCGGCAAGCGCCCGCAGGAGCCTGTGTGCCCAGACTTGTGTGCAGGCACGATAAACGTGTTAGCGTCTGAGCCTTCAGAATTAGTAACGTGCACATTTGCGGGATTACCTCCATTTTCTGACTTCTGGGAGATGTCAGGGATCTTCCACAATATCCTTTGCTGTTCGGCGTTCCTAAAAACACATGAAGAAAAAGAGCATTTCTGTAAGGAAACAAGAAATCACGGAGGAGTTGCTTGAATTTTGCTAAAGGCCGTGTGGGCTGGAGGAGCTGCTACGCCGCCCCGTTCCCGAGACCGTTCCTAAAAACACATGAAGAAAAAGAGCATTTCTGTAAGGAAACAAGAAATCACGGAGGAGTCGCTTAATTTTGCTAAAGGCCGTGTGGGCTGGAGGAGCTGCTCCGGCGCCGCTCTCCAGAGCCGCCATTCCGGGAGCTTGGCTTTGGCTTTGACCCAAGCAGGAAAATGCCGCTCTTGCATTGCAGATGAGCGATGGGCAAGACGCAGCGGGGCCGTGCCGTGCCCTGCTTCCCCGCCGCAAGCATGCATGCCTGTGCCTACGGCAGCGACGGCCGTGCATCCCTCTGAGCCCCGGATACAAGCAGCCGAAACACAAAATAAGGGTTGTTGTTCTGCTGCCTGCACACCTGCGTTCAGCTCCGACCTCTTGCTGGTGCGAACGGCGAGAAAAAAAAAATACCGGGGTGGGGTTGCATGCAAGAGGAGGACAGGTTTGGGTCCCCAGCGTGCCCCCAGCTCCCGCCCGCAGAGGCGTCCCGAGGGCGATGCCGCGCCTGCAGCCAGCAGGCAGGACGGCTGTTTTGGGCAGGGACGTGGCGGAGATAGCAAACGAGCTCTGTGTCGGGTGAGCGGTTCCTACCAGACAGCAGGAGGAAGCACAGCTTGAAGTTTGGTTACTCCTCCGTCGACGGGGACGAGGAACTGGACGTTGTTTAGAGCTACCGGTGTGGTCATTGCCTCTGTATTGTATTTGTAGTCAATGCGGAGGTCAGTGCTTGCAGGGTCACACCGCCAGCTCACTGCAAGGTTTAATGGAGTAGACTGAATACCCTGGGCAGATACCTTCCAAAATGACAGAAAAAACATTTAGTTTCCATAGGGGTGAAGGGAGAAATCCCATTTTACAGACGCAGTAATTGCATTTGGTTTCAGAGGAGACAATACCTTGTATTCTCATAGAAAGTTTGTACTGGGCTCAAAATCAGGCAATCTAGGGACATACAGGACTAGGGACTAGCGGGGTGGCATGCCCTCCTCTCACGCTATCTCCACTCTGCACTAGGGAAATGCCGCCTTTTACGTCTACGAGTTAAGCGCACATTTTTGGCACAGTTTTGTCTTACAAAAAAAACCCTACCTGGTATTTGAGCATATCCACATTGTAATAGGTGGCTTGTGGTTTCTGTTCCGATACCTTCTTTAGGTGAGTCATCAGATTTGGCATGTTGACCCAGAACTCCTTTGTGTTGGCGTCACTCTGTGTGTTGTCACTGCACGGAGGGAGAATTAACCCTTGGCGTAAGCCGCCTCGGCGGAAGAAAGCTTTTCTACAAAGCATGCAGGACAGCAGCGCCGGCCGCCAGCTGGGGCCGCATTTAACCCCACATTTAGAGAAATATGGCCTCCCTCCCGCGCGCCTCTGGCTTGTCCTCAGACACCTCCGGGGAGGCGCAGCAGATGCAAGCTGTAGGTCACAGAATCATGAAGGTTGGAAAAGACCTTTAACATCATGGAGTCCAACCATCAACCCAACACCACCATGCCCACTAAATGTCCCGAAGCGGCACGTCTACATGTTTTGAGGTCATCTCATTTTGCACACGGGAGGTCTTCATGAGCAGAGCGAGGCACAAAACAAGCAAACCCCATCAAAGCACTTGCTCCTCGCTGCTGATGCTCCTCTGCCTGGCAATGGGGCCGCTCTCAGAGGGAGCACCCTGGCAAATATTTAAGGGCTTGAGAGTTTCCTTCCCAAAATCAGGGCAGGCTGCCAAGGAAGAACCTTTGGGCCATGATTTTTTTGCAAAGCACCCTACTTTTCTGGAAACCCGCCTTCCTTTGGGATGCTGGCGAGGCGGGGGCTTACCAGCAGAGGAGCTGGGGGTTTGGCAGGACGTGCTCCAGCCTGTTGTAGTTCAGCACGCGGAAGGTGAGCACTGCCGGAGCGGGGTTGTTGGCAAAGTGTCGGGTGATGCCCGCTGGAAACGACAGCACCATCTCCCCCGTGATCTTCACAATACACCTGCAGTGCCGGACACAGAGACCGAGGCGGGAGGAAACGGGGGGCTCAAAACGCAGCAGGAGGAGAGTGTTCGCCCCAGGGAGGGTGCGGTGACTGCCCCCCGCTTCCCACCCGCTGTGCCGGGGGAACGAGCCTCGTGTGGTCCTAAACCAGAGCGAGCTGAAGCAGCAGCCGAGGGTGGGAGC